ATATATATCCCAACATTCTAAGGCTGTTAAAACGCATTGTTTACCCATATCTTCAGAAAAAAAATCACTTCTACTGTCATGGTAAACAACCTGCTTCCCTGTTTATAATGGTCTGGCCCTCTAGCAACTTCAGCGTGAAATTATAGCTAATTTGCCTACAAACATCAGGTGGTCATAGTAATCTGGCCACTTGGCATATAGATATAGATAGATATAGATATATTTTTATAGACAAGGTCAGCGGCAAACTTGGCCTGGGCTAGCCTGCCCACATTTCCCTTCATCACTTCTCCCCTGGCCAAAGGGTGCTTCCACACAACACAAAGCTCATCATTTTCCCTGAGCTCTAAACGTCTCAGGGCTTCTCCCTACAGGCTGCTGCCCATCTTACAGATGAGGTGACTGAGGCCAGGAGAGGTTCACTGACTTTCCCAAGGCCACACCACCAGGACATAGGGCTCACATGGGTCTGAGGATTCTGGGCTCCACCCTGGGAGGGGCAAGACAGTCCCTGAGGGCTGTCACTCTGGGAGGGATTGGCTCCTGCAAGGTGGGCATCCTCTCCCTGGCACAACAGTGCTTCTTTGCCCGCCCTTTTTGACCGGAGTGCATCGGGGTCCCCTCTGGAGGGGCTTCCCAGTGGGCAGAGCCTGACCTCGCTGTCCCCTCCCCCGGCTCAGCGAAATCTCCAGATTTGAAGACACTCTGCAACATTACAAGGTCTGCAAGGATTTCCTGTACAAACTGTCGCCCAGGGACTGGCTGGAGGAGCAAGAGAAAAAGCACTTGGCTCTCAGACAGGCCAAGGAGGCCGCCAAGGCCAAGGAGAACGCTCAGTCGTCACAAGGGGACAAAGGTAGCTGAAAAGAGAAGATAGCTCCCGGGGTCCATCTGCACCCTGTGCCCACCAGCATAGGCCTGGGAAGTGTCCAGGCCCAGGGACTGGTGGCTTCCACACCCTGCAGAGCTCCAGCTGGGGCAGCCGCCCCTGACCACCCGTGGCTCAGCACAAGCACCTGCTTGGGGAAATGGGGCTGGCTCTCCACTCAAACCCAAGGGGTTTTCTCCTGTACACCTGCCTTCTTCGGCCACTGAGAGGTCCCAGGGAACCCTGCGCTCCCAAGCAATGTTGCCGCAGGCCTGGTTCCAGCCAAGGCCATCAGGGACCTCTCCCTTGCTTTCTGTAGGACCGGGGACCAAGGGCAAGATGACCTCCAAAGGTATGTGGCTGCCCGGCTGGAGGGGCCCCACCCTGGGTTGGGGCAAATAGAAACTCCTCCTCTGCTTCCCGCAGAAGGGCAAAGCCCTCGGAAGCCCTGGAGAGTGCTGCAGGTGATCCGGGTCGGGCAGGTGCTGGCCAGCCCCGGCCATCACGACCATCAGCCTGCGTCGGACTCCAAAAAGTGAGTGGGCTGGGGGAGCTGCAAAAGTGGCTGGAGCCTGGTGGGCGGTGCTCCCCAATGGCTCCTGCCAGGGGCTCCCAGATTAGGCCCAGACCCTGAGCGGGGAGAGTAGGAGGAGGGTCCTTAGTCTGACTTAAGCTGGAAAATCAAGAGGTTTTCTAAAGAAAGGTTTGTTTCTGCCTGATTCAGTAAAGGTACTATTAGTAAGCCTGGGGTGGCCCATCGGGTGCTAATAGACTAGTCAAATGTGAACAGATGCGGGCAGCCAGATGGGCACAGGGAACAGGATGGCACATGCCCCCTGCGGGTCCTCTGTGGCCAGGGAGTGCTGGCCCAAGGGCCAGAGCTCCAGAGCTGTTCAAGAGAAGCCAGACATCTAGACTTCGTTATAAAATTACCCGGATTTCAGTGTGACAGTCTCTTTCAAATCTTATAAGAAACACAGTGAGGTACCAACAGAAACCCCACGTCGATCCATGTACAGTGCAAACCTGGTTCTCCACTCCTTTGCCTGCAAGTCCGAAGCTGTCCCCGACCCACCGCACCTGGTTCCTATGCTGAGCTGCTGGGTCACCTAGTCACTCCCTCCCGGAAATGCTCACAGGAATCACAACTCTAGCTAAACAAAGAAATCTCAATGCCCAGTTCCTGTGCACCTCCTGCCAGGCTGTTGGCCAGGAAGCCACAGGCAGCGCTGTGATGAGTTTTATTATTTCCTGTATTCCTTTCAGTCGTGTTTAAGCAAATAGTGCATTGATCCACATGAAGTTGCTGTGCAGGTCACAAGGGTACTTGGCATGCCCTTATGATTCAACCTACACATAAGCAAAGGCGATTTTCTTATGCCCAGCCTTCCTTTCACAAGGAGCTAACCCTCCCATCTCACCACTTCTCCATTAACAGCATTGCCAGGGGGCCTCCGTCGCCAGGGTTCCAGGGTCCTGGTGTCTGCCGAGCCCCTGGCCTCTTGATGCCGACTGGGGTGAACTTCACAAGATGTAAACATGGAGCAGGGCACAAACACTGCATCCCAGGGCTGTCTGGCATTTGCCTTTACAGTGCCAGGGCCACGGCCAGGTCTCACCTGTCCCATGAAGTCTGGACCACCTCGGGCCAGAGGGATGACGGCCTGGAGAGTCATGTGGGGAGCCAGAGCAGGTGGCTAGTAGTCTTGGAGCCAGGGCAGAGGAGAGCTTGGTTGGCCCACGCAATTGGGGGGCTGGTGAGTCCACAGCCTGCAGGCAGGCTGGCGGGCTGCAGACCCAAGGAGGCAGAGCTTCCACTTGAGTCCAAAGGCAGTGGGCTGGCAGAATCCCTTCTTTTTCAGAATACAGAAAATCAAAGACAGAGCTAAAGCAAGCGTGAGTGATAGCTCATGATTTCTGTGACATTTTCATGACGAAAAATACAATGGCCATTCGGATGTCCTCCTTTGTGAAAAGTGTTCAGTCTTTGTACATTTTTATTGGATTGTCAGCCTTTTTTTTCTGGCTTCCTATTAGCACTTTATATATCCTGGGTGCAAATCCTGTACGTAATAAGTGTAGTATAAGTATCTTTATACAGTCTTGCTTGCCTTATTACTCTTCATGCTATCTTTTGAGTCCAGTTTACCAATCTTTACTTTTATGATTGGTGCATTTTGTGTCCTACTTAAGAAATCTTTGCGAACCCCAAAGTCACTAAAATAGTCTCCTGTGCTTTCTTCTGGAAGCTTCATAGTTTATCAGCTTGGATGAGGGTGGTGGTTGGGGAGATGGGGAGAATGGGTAGCCCGGGGCTCAGGAGCCTCCCCCTCACTCTCCCTCTCGGAGTCTGTCTCTTCTGCTCATCCCTTTATGTGCTCTGTCCTCTGCCCTTCCTTCTCTACCATGGCCTGGCCCCCCCTCCCATGGTTCTTCTCCCAGTTTCTTGAGCTCCAGGCACCTATGGGTGTCTCCCATTAGATGTTCTCTACATTCAACCTCCCAAATACCAAACCGATACTTCTCAGGCTGAAGGGGAGCCAAGCACTACCAATTTGCAAGCTTACGTTCATCTTTATGAATCATGGTTCGTGCCTTATGGAGAGCAACCACCACTGGCCAGGCAAATGCCATGGGTAACTCTGAAGCCTGCGACCCCTGCTGGTGGGGGCTGGTATTCCGATTGAGTGTTGGAGGCTCCAGGAGGTTAGATATGCATGCTTTCTCTGCCTAAGTTGTCCCTCAGCCCTAGAGCTCCCACTGTGAGGCCCCTCCCTAGAACAGAGGTCTGGGAGCACACTGTCCTGGTTAGGATCTGGGTTCCTCCGTCTATTGGTCATATGACAGGTCTCTGCACATGACACTTAGCCAAGAGGTTGAGTGGGGCTTAAAGTCCAGTCCACACTTCAGGCTATGTCCATCTTGAGGGCAGATTCTCCAAAACGGCTTATGGGCCAACAGTGTCCTGCAGGTGACCTTGGGTAGGTGACTCGATATCTGAGTTGCATGTTCCTTAGTTGCCCAATGGGCATCAATGTGTATACAATATGAGGCCCAGGCCCAGTGAGTGTTTAGTAGCCTCTCCCACAGGGCCCTGCATTTATCACCTGTCAGCTGCAGGTGGGTCAGGGCCTGGAGTCTCTCTGGCTGTGAGCCTGCCCTGGGCCTTCTTTAGCCAGCAGAACCTGCAAATCCAGGGTGGGGGCCAAGGCTGGAGCAGGCACAGAGGGTGATTAAAGCAGGTCTGGATATGGGGCAAGACTGGGTCCCACGCTGAGTGCTCCAAGCCCACACAGCCTTTTCTGCACCCCTGAGGGCTGGCCCAGGATGGTCTCACCCTGTGGGGTGCTCAGGGTCAGTGGAAGGTGGCTGTGTCACAGGAGCACCATGAGGGCCATCAAGGACAACTGCCAAGGCCAAGTCTAGATAGAGGAGATGGGCAGAAAAGGCCCTGAAAGTGGCTTTTGAGAAAGGACGATAAATGGAGAGGGACAGCCCCAGTAGTGGGAGCCGCGGGTGCCAAGGACCTGAGGCAGAGTCGGCACCTAGAGAGACAGGAAGGGAGCTGGCAGCAGAGTAACCTTGGACAATGGGGGAGATAAGGGTTGGGAGGGTAGCAGGGCCCCCACAGCTCCCGGGTGGAGGCTGAGTTTTATTCTAATTAGAGAGAGATTAACTGAATTTTGAGAGTTAATTGAATTTCGAAACGATACCCCCGGTTGCTGTGTGACAGCTGGGGGACCAAGAGGAAGCTGGTGCCACCACCTGGGTAACTTGCGTGATGGACAAAGGGACAAGGGTTATGGGGTTGGAGAGGAGATTCTGTGGAAATGCCAGGAGTCTACACCACTGAGATGGGGCACAATGGCCCAGGCTGGGCCCTGGCGCCCTAAACCCACATCTCTCCGCAGGTCCAGCTCTTCTACCTTACCCAAGGAAGAGGACCCAGACAGCGACGGGGAGGTCAGTGGCCCCACTCTTGGCAGGGTCTGCGGGAGCCAGGTCCCCTTGCCACTGCACTGCTGGGAGCCCCTCACCCCCTTACCCCCACCCCAACACACACACACACACACACACACACACACACACACAGCTCTGGTTCCAAGGTCTGTAGCTGTACTTCGTGGAGTCCCCAGCTCCTGGAGGCCCACCTGCATCCCCCCTGCACACACACAGCTCTGGTTGCAGGGGCTGGAGCTGTACTTCAAGGAGCCCCACCAGCTCCTGGAAGTCTTTACAACCCTGGAGGAGCAGAACCTCTCGCTGATCCAGAACACACAGGAGATGGAGGAGGCCCTGGAGGAGCTGAGCTTCACCCTGAAAAATACCCAGATCCGCATGTAAGTCTTGAGTGGGGCCACCCTAGCCAGTGAGGAGATGGACTCTATCATTGGTTGTCATCCTGGGACCTCCACAGCCGCTGGCAGCTGGACCGTGGGCCCGGCCCCTCCCTGTCCTAGACCTGGCTTTTCCCTGACTTCCGTTTTCTGGAAAGCTCCATTTGACGTTGGTGCCTGGCTCTGGTGAGAAGATGTGTCCTGTTGGGTAGGGAAGTTGAAGGTCAGGGGTACCCAGGAGTGGCCTGGGAGTTGATCATATCGTTGGACTGGTCCATGCCTGCCCTGGAGCAGTCTGCAGCCAGAGAGGGGCATCTTAAGGACCTCTCACCCCAGGTGCATTCTGCTGAAGCCAGGTCCAGGAGAGCTGGGCTGAGCAAGATCAGTTAGGGCACTACGTGAGGTCTGTTGGGAACAAGGAATTCACTCCTAAACATAGGCTGAGAACCTATTCTGGGTCGGGCCTGGATCTAGGTCCTCCAGGATAAAGGCCCTTCCTCATTGAGCTGACATTCCATGGGGCCCACAGATTTGACTTGTAGACACTGACACAGCTAGGAGGGAAAGTGTGAGAATGATACGAGAAGAGGCTACAGAAGAGGGTGGCACAGATCGACAAGGGCAGGGAGGCTCCCTGGGGAATATGTCCTTTGAGCCAGGTACTTCCCGAGTGATGGGAAGCCACATGTGATGTGGGAAGAGGGTGCCAGACAGGGGGAAAGCAAGTGCAAAGGCCGAGGTGGGAGCCAGCCCAAGGCTTCAATGTCCCCCCGGGAAACCATGTTCCTGAACATCCCTGTCTCGTTGACCCATGTCCTGCCATGGAGAATCTCCTGCTGGGAGTCTCCAGACTTATGTGAAACTACTAGCTCTCAGGTAATATTGTTTCCTAGAAAGCAGGAAGGTAGCAGACACACACAGACACGAACTAGGAGAGGCAGGCAGCCTCCCAGGTTCCACAATCCCTGGGCATGTAGATACTTTGCAGTCACAGTCCCTTAGCCCAGTGGTCAGCAAACTGCGGCTCGCGAGCCACAAGTGGCTCTTTGGCCCCTTGAGTGCAGCTCTTCCACAAAATACCACGTGCGGGCGTGCACATACAGTGCGATTGAAACTTCGTGGCCCATGCACAGAAGTCGGTATTTTGTGGAAGAGCCACACTCAAGGGGCCAAAGAGCCGCATGTGGCTCGCGAGCCACAGTTTGCCGACCACTGCCTTAGCCCTCAGGACAGCGGCAGGAGAGGTCAGGTCCAGAGGTGAAGTGCCCAGGGCCACACTGGTGAGCAGGGCCCTCCTGATCCCCCGTCCAGGGATAGGGAGGTCAACCAGCTGAAGCAGTGGATCACCACACTGATGATGTCCATCACCAAGGAGGAGGAGACAGCTGCCGAGCTGGAGCTCAAAGCACGAGTCTTCCATTTCGGCGAGTACAAGGGCGCACAGGAGGTAGGCCCCCCGCCCGCCCGCCCCCGGGTGGCAGCCAGCAGGTGGTGGGTATGGAAGGAGTGCAGGTGGCCACAGGCTGGCAGCGGGGGAGGGGAGGTCCTCTTCCAGGCACCTGCTGGGAGAAGGTCCAGTGCCTGGAGCTCTGACAGTGGGAAAGTAAGGCCTGAGATTCAGCTGTGCTCTGGGGCTGCAGGCCCCTCACCACCTCCAGACTCTGTGGACCTGACCAAGGGGCACCAGCTGAAGAAGGCCCTTGGTCTCCAAATCCAAGGCACCCTGTGTGTTTCTGCTCCATGGCTGTTCATCTGCCCAACACACCTCCTCCATTCCTTCCTTCTTTGGACAAATACCCCTGGCTTCTTAAACATGTATAATATCCCCAGAGAGGCACATCCCCAGGCCAGAGTGTGAGAGAACTCTGAGGGCCAGTGATGTTCCAGGCAGTGGGACCAGGATTTGGCACACATTCCTTTTGATGGCAGCCCCAGCTTCCTAATTCATCCAAATTCCTATTGAGCACCCACTGTGTGCCAGGCACTGGGCTAAGTACATGGGATGCCACAATGAGCAGGCCAGTGTGTCCCTGCCTCTTGCTGGTCATCACTGGACACCAGCTGTGCCCTGTGCTTGGCTTAAACCTTTTTGCTTGCTGTTCCTCATTTAGTCCACAGGTTCACTCATGTGTCTGAGGGGTTAGCTGTTTTCTGAATGTTAGACTCAGAGAGGGGAGAGTTCATCAGGCCAGGGCCACAGAGAAAGTAGGTCACAGGATGTGGTCCTGTGGGCACTGAGGTCAGTGCAGGGGCAGCAGAGGGAGGGCTCCCAGGAGGAAGGAACTGGGACTTGGTGGACACACTGAGGAAGCTGGGGGAGGGGCCGAGGCACAGGCATGAACCCTCATGGCGAGTGGAACCCAAGATCTGGCTGACCACAAAAGAGCAAATGGGGGAGAGGGTGTCACAGCTCTGGCCAAGGAAAGTCCAGGTGTCCAGTTCTGTTTTCCCCAGGCTTCCTAAGTGCTCACCTGGGCAGAGCAAGGCCCTGGGAGGTTCGCCACGCTGCAGTGAGGGCAGATCATGAGAGGGAGTGGACACAAGTCTGAGCAACCCACTGGTGGACTGCCCGCCTCACAGGACAAGCTGCTGGAGAGCCTCAACCGCAAGGTGCAGGACGTGTACCGGCAATGTGTGGGTCCCCAGCAGGAGTCCAGCCTGGGCACCGTGCAGATGCTGACCGTCATTGAACACCAGCTGGACGAGCTGCTCGAGAACCTGGAGCGTGTGCCCCAGATCAAGATCGAGCAGGCCGAGAAGGCCAAGGAGAAGGAGCGGCGCCAGAGGTGAGGCCCAGGCTGCCCTCCACCCCCTGCTGTCTTGCCCTCCAAGAGTTCCCAACTCAGGGGCAAGGACCCTGGTTCTCCAAGCTGGGAGAGCCACGGCAGGGCTCTGGTGGAACCAGAGGGAACCCACACTCAGCCTCGGTATGGGAAGCCCTGCGTGTGGAGAGAAGGATGTTGTGGAGTCAGGGACCCAAAGTGAGGTGCGGCTAGCACAGCCTGGCCTCAAGAAACAGGGGCCATTTTCCTGGCTGGATGGGAGGGAAACAGGCTGGCATTACAGAGCCCAGAGAGGGAGGGGCAGAGACGCCGGCACAGGGGACATGGGCCCATCCTCCGAGAGGCGGCCCGGAACTCCCGAAAGGCCGGTGGGGTGTGGGGTAGTTCCAGGGACCATGACTCCTCTGGCCTGTGGGCTGCCTGGTTTACTCACTCCTGTGCCGAGCCCCGAAACACAGCCATCAGCAAAAGGCCATCTGCCTCTCCCATGAGCTCTGTGTCCTTGGTACCTTGCTCAGGGCAGACCCGGGGCAGTGGTTTGAGGACCCCTAGTACAAACAGGAAGGAGACAACACTACTAATCTGAGGTCTGGGCTTTCAAGGGTGACGATAGGGAAGCATGGGCACATGGACCAGTGACTGGGGATAAAGGTCTAAGAACATGGGCTTCCTGGGGCTATGAGATGACCTTTACATTATCTCCCAGGAGCCCAGAGCTGGCTGCTCCCCAAGGAGCAGGGCAGAACCAAGGCCCTGGCCAGGGAGGAGAGGAGTGGGAGTTTTCTCAGAAGAGGGCGGGCCATGGCCTAAGAACTGTGTGGGAAGGAGCTGGGAAGGGGATTTGGCAGCCTCCCCTGGCCTCTCCAGTCTGTAGTGCATCTCTTGTTGTCCCTGCTACCTAGACTCCGGGAAGAGAAAGCCAGGATACAGAAGCAGCTGCAAGAGGAGCGTCTCCAACGGGCCCAAGCCCGGGCCCAGGCTGAGATCAAGAAGAAGGTGGGCCTGGGGAGCTACTGCTGGGGAAGGGTCCCATGTCCAAGCACAGTGTGGCTTGGGAAAGTAAAGGGTCTGGAGCTGAGTCTGGTTCACCGAATCCTTTGCAGATGTTACTGCAGCGGTCCTGGGCCCCTAAGAGCGAGGCTAGGATAGAGCAGGTCTCCCATTCCTGGGCCTACAGCCCCTCAGGGCTACCCTCGCCTTCCTCCAGAAGCCCTCCCCTAGGGCTGCCCGCTCCCCTGCACACATTCCTGGTCAGTGACTGACCTGGTCACGCCCTCCTAGCCCTGCTGAGAGCTAGCACAAAGAGCTCAGCTGCCCAGAGTCCCACCACACAACCTGCCTCAGAACAAGCTCACCTGTCACCAGAGTCCCCTTAATTGCTGTGCCCCAATCCTCCATCCCACAGGGAATGGGCAGGAGCAGCATGGTCTCTAATGGAGGCCCAAGGCTGATCATGGCCATGACAGACAGAAGGGGCCGATGGGCTTTCCCTGCAATAGACCAGCACTCTCTCTCCTCTGTGCCGTGGGGAATGACGGACACTGCAGGGTCTCCCTGAAATCCCACAGCAAGAGACGGGTTCCCTGTTTATCGGAATTTCCTGCACATGGCCCTCACATCTCTAGGGGCTGCCCCAGAGCACAGGCTTTAGTGCTGGACAGACACACTTCTGAGTTGGCTCAGCAACTCCAGCCCTCAGCCTGTGGCTGACCAGGAGCGACCAGAGACTGGGATGGTCCACAGGGCTCCCCAGCCTCCTGACAGGGGTGTGACCCCTCAATGTCTAGGTAGCACCTCTGGTGCACTGAGGCCACAGGCAGAGGGTTACTGAGTCCGCTTCCTCTACAGAGAGGCAGAAAGCTGGTGTCCCGCTCCGAGCCCCCGGCCCTGAAAACCAAGGAGGAGCCTGAGCAGGAGCTGCTGGACAAGGAGAAGGAGGAGCACCTGTTCTTCTTCACCTAGCCTTCCGGGCGCTGCCATGGCTGACGGCAAAGGGAGGACGGCAGCGGGAAGCGAACAGGGCTGTGTCAGGGCAGATGCAGCCCTCGCTGTGCGCCTCATGGTCTCCTGCTGTATGTTTCTTTACTCGTGAAATAAACCCCATGACTCTTTGGTGTCTAAGGGCTGTTTAAGGAGGTAGATCCTATCTCCCAATGCCAGCACTCCTCTTAATCATTAACCCTAAGAAATGCTGGAGGGAAGGAGGCCACCTTGGCTCCCATCTAAAACAACTGCTTTAAGAGACAAGCCACGTCCACGCTGCGGTGCCGTGTGGGGCCAGCCCCAACACAACGACAAGGAAGGAAAGCAGCAAGCTGGGCAGATGGGAGGGTTATTACTCCTGACTGAAGGAGAAAGTGATGTCAACACTATAGACACAATTCCTTAAAGTAAGTCAAGCGAAGCCTTCAGTATGTAACTATACAAAAACTTTTATTCATTTGCACTAGGGTTGGGTCCACTGCCAACAGGGGACCTCAGTGCCCAGAAAACTGACAGTCAGTACCAATCACTTTGTAGTGGACATTCACTGGGGGATGTGCTGGAGAAAGGTCCAGCAGTACGTCCTCCTTCAGAGGTCAGTGAGGTATGGCCACCCTGGCCAACAGGCTTGGCTCCTTGGAGAGGGAGGGGATTTCTGGAGGACCTGGAGGCTGAGGTGCCACATGAGCACAGAAATTGTTTGTGAAGCAGCACAGAGTTCTGTACGAACCATTTATAAATGGGGCCTAAATTCCTTCAGCTAGAGAAGCACTGAGCAGGAGGGGATGGCACCTCAGAATAGGACAGAGGAATCACAACTGAATGCTAGGTCACTCCCAAGAGCCCAAGTCCAAACACTCAAGAAACAAAGAAACACAGGATGGGCAGAGTTTGGATGATTCCAAGTCTGAGAACCAAAGTAGCATCTTAATAAACACACACTTCAAAAGGCATAAGGCAAACACAGCATTTCTGAGTGATCGTGTCCAGTCCACTAACCAATTAACAAATATGTGCAAGGTTATCAACTCGTCTCCTTTTGCAAGACAGAATTAACACTGCAAAATACGTGGTGCCATGATATGCACACCTTCAACCTCAACAAAAACATATGCATGCCATCATTACAATCCTGCACATAATCTATAGTATTCTGAACATGACTTTATAAACCATCCTCAAATTATTATTAAACATTAGTACCCAAATACAGAATTTAAAAAAATTATTTTGAATGTTTTAATTCTACCATCTCCAAAACTATGAGCTCAAAATTTGGTCTACACAGAGGGCTCACAAACAGGGTCCCCGATGTGTCCACTTCACCTCAATAATTTCCTCTCACACCAGCAGCCTGCCTGGTCTGCCAGAACATGGATGAGAATTCGGCTTCCTGTGACAAGCAGCCCACTTCTGCCCCACAGTGTGACAAAAGTCAACCCCGCTACAAGCACCATTCAAAGGGGTGGGAAACAGCCTGTCACATAGCTCTCAGAAAGGGAAAGCAGGGCGTTTAGATCTCTCTCAGGGCAAATGCTGAGACTGCAAAGCTGAAAGACCCTTTCTGGGTTTACTACAGATACAGTTGTATTTCACTAGGGGACCTGTTCTCTATTTCCTGCACAAGTCTGTTTTTGTAAATGCAACTGGTGCTCTATGGCTCAGATGAATGGAATAAGGGATGTGCGCACACAGGCACAAGTACAGAAGAGGGATGTGCTTTGCTAGGAAGGCAATCTTTGCCTCACTGAAGCACTTTGCTTAGACAAGGCAGTTTTAAACAGAACGGCCCCTAACTGGTTCCTGATAGAATGTAAGAAAAAACATGTTCAGTGAGTGTACCCAAAAGTCTCTGAAGAACTAGGCTGGCCTTCTGAGCAGAAACCAAGTGGGCTCTCAGCCAGGCCTGCAAGACCACGTAACAGTCTCTAGGGGACACAGATGGGAGGCGTCGCCCTTGGGTCCCCCAGTAGAGGGCAGCTTTCACTGCAGGTCCTGTAGGTTGACAGTGCTGCCTGTGCTGTGCGTGTCCTCAGGCCCAGAAGCCCCTCCGGCAGCAGGATGCACCTCCTGCAAAACCAAGCAGAGTAATGAGGAGGTCAGAAAGGGGGAGGTGGGGCTGAGGCAATACAGGACCACTCACAGCCTCACAGCCGCTCACCAACTAGCAGCATAACCTGCAGGGCCAGCCAGCCAGGTGCTTCTGACTTTTCTGTTAAAAACTACTCCACCTCTACCTTTTAGAGAAATGTTTCTACCTCATTAGATTCAAGGCCATGATGACCAGCGTTTGGCTATCTGTACCTTACCCGATTTCTTTAGGAGTGATCTTGTGAATGGGAACTCCAGGCAGCATGTAGTAGACACTAAAGGGGCTTTCTGGATGTCCCCACTACAGCAGTCTGGGAGCTCCCACCTCATATCAGTGCTTTAGTCAAAATTCATTTTTGACATTAAGGAAAATGTTTAACCCTTTGTATACCATAAGCATCCCTAGACACTTCAAAAACTCATTTTTTCGTGAAAATTTTCAACTGAAAATATTCAAGAACCCCGGAACTGTGAGTAATAGATTTATTTTTATAATATTCATTGCAAATTTATATTTTTAATTAAATTCAAAATATCATGGCGTGTGGGATGGTTTCCGTTTTGGACGTGTGGCAGTTATTGATAGCCCAATTTCTATTTGTATGGATTTTTAAGTATATATTTAAGCCTGTTAGAAATTTAATAAGCTAAATACTTTCATTATTTTATATCCAAATCTGAATTATCCACAGCCACCTATGCCCAGCTTATCCACTTAAGAAAACTAATTTGTCTGGGTCTGTTTTTCCACAGGTTAAAACTAACTTCCCATTGAAGGAAGTGACTAGAATTTCTCTATATAAAATATTTTAGAGAGTATGTTCACCTTATTTACAAGTAGGAGCTACAATGACAACAAATTTGAGCTTTAGTCTTATCCTTTTATTTTCTGGCCATTTACCCACCCACCTTTTCTAGAAAGCAGCAAACATCCAGGCAACCAACCCAATGGATCTCCACCCGAGGCCTACCTCAGTGCCCAGCCTCTGAAGCTGGAAGCTTGGTGATAATCTTACTAACAAACCCAAAGACGTGTAAAGCATCAGACCTGGAGGACATAGACGGGCACACCAACAGCGAGCAGGGGGTGGAAGGTGGAAGACTGCGGGCTCAGCACCACTGGCAAGACTCCTTCATCTGAGGGGCCGTCCTGAGGAGGGAGGCAACAGCACATGTTTTATTAACCAGGCACGACAGCATTCCTACCTCAGTCTGAGTAGATCTATCAATGCCACATGCAGGACTGGTCCTACCCCGTGTATCAGGCAAGGCACCCCCTTGACCCAGGTGAGGCCCGAGAACCCAGCAGCAATTGGCATCAGGGGCTGAGAGCTGCTGCCCCTCCTTCTGAGCTTCATCTCTCACCCGCCGTCTGGCTGCTCCTTCCTCCCAAGCCCTTCTTCTGGAACTTTCCTGTACTCTCCCACACTCAAATACCTCCCCGCAGTCCAAGTGCCAATTTCTCTCCTGTGGGTTGTTCTTGAACTCTGACGGAGGCTCCGGGCACCCCTCCCTCAGTGTCTCACTGCTCTCCAGCAGCCTTCTCAGACCACACAGGTAGGCTCATCTCTGCCTTGAATCCAGCCCTCAGTCAAACTAAGACTATAGATGAAAGGTCTTCCCAGGAGGGGCTATCAGGCCCCTAATTGTCCAATTCAGAAAAGGGAACTGTTTAACACTTCACCTTTCATCTGCACGTCAGCCTGTGCTCATCCACAGCTCCCATCACTCAATCCTGGTGCCACCATCACTCCCATCAGTATCTCTCACTCCTTCCAGTCTCAAGAACCTTCTGTATCAAGCACTGAGCACTCACTATCATTCCCATCTTATATTTGATAAGACGGAAGCCCCAAGTGCTTAAGTAACTTACCCAAGACTACCCTAGCTGGTAAGGGAAAGATAAAAGATTAAAACCCAGGTTTCTCTACCTCAAAACTGACATCTTTAATTGGTGTTCCTTAGAAAAATAACCACAACTCCTTTTCCAACTAGCTCCAGTGGAACCAGCTTCCTTACAGTCACCATGTCAAAACCTTGAGTCCTGCAATCTTCACTTGGGATCTGCTTGCTGGCTTTGACCATGTTCAGAAGGCTCAGACTGGGCCCCCTCCACTACCTTTATCTTGGAAAAATCTTTCATTTCTCTGCAGGCAAATCCCGCCCCCACAAAACGCTCACATCTGCCTCTGGTTTGCTACAACCGCATGGCCATCCACTGGGCCCATCTTCCAGGCGCCTTCAGGCTCTGCCCAACCATTGCTACCTCTCTTTCACTTATCTGAACCCTACAGACGCTCCATAGCCAGCTCGGTCCTACCTCCTTCATGAGCCTCTCCCGGGCTGGACTCCCTGCTCCCTCTTCCAGATCAGCTCAGGACTCAGATGTTCTATGACATCTCTGACTGGGACTCCCCGGCCACACAGTGCTCTTTGGCCCCAGAGTACCCAGGACACAGAAGATTGCTCAGTGAAGGGGCAGGATGTGATCAGGTCAGGTCAGAGGGGCACATCCTCAGCTTTTATATCCTTTCTGTCCTAAAACCCAAATTACCTTACGTCTCTATCCTGCCCCTTCAAAAATGAGACTGGAAATAAAGTTGTACACAGAGGTGTGGAGCTGAATGTGTCTAGTGAGCGTTCGTGGAGTGGCTGCCAGCTGCAGAGTCTGCTGGGCCCGGGGCATAGTCTAAGAGGTGGCTGGCCCTGCCCTTCAGGGGCTCAGTTTGGTAAAGAATGAAAACAGGAAAAGAAAAAAAAATTAAAAGCTAGCACCTTTAATAGATAAAGGCCACATCCTCTGGTGTGCTACCAGCAGTCTCCAGAGATGAGGATGACCAATGCAGGCTGAGGAAGCCCCTGCACCCCAGCCCTGAAAAGAGAAGCAGGGTCTGGGGAGGGGCAGGCAGCGTGAGCCAGGTGCCACAGCATCCAAAGGCTGCAGTGCCTGTCTGTGGCCATCCTCAGGCAGCCCAAGCAGCTACAGGGGGCCTTGGAATGAAGCAGGCATGTGTCTACACCTCACAGGACTCCCAGTACGTTACAGAAGACAGAGCACATGGGAAGGGGAGACCAGACACATACAGAGAGTTCTGACACAGATGTGTCGATCTTAATGAAGATAAAAGCTTGAACAAATGTAGTTCCGTGGGTGGGATGAAGGGAGAAGCTGGGGTTATGGACAGATGATTTAGGATATAAGACAGGACTTGGAACAGTGGTGGAAGGGCCGTTCACTGAGAGAAAGGAGCACCCAGAGACAGAGCCCTGAGGCCTTGTCCACAGCTCTCACCAGGACACCTCCGAGCCTGCCTCCTCCCAGCTCGATGGCTCTTACCTGCAGTAACTGGGCCTGAACACACTGCACCCCAGCTGCTGGAGCTGGTCCTGGCAGACCTCCGCCGGGCACCACAAGGTTCCCACACAACCAACCACTCTGGTTTGCATACAAGTGAGTAGGAGTGACTTTGCCACCTTTCATTTTTCTCTGAGTAGACCCTGAGGCTCCTAAAATGAAACAAACCAACAATGCACTGTACATTGTGCTGTTCAGGCCCTTGCCTTCACAGAGGCCACACTCTGGGGGAGTCAGCCTTCCCATTACCTGTCACTGCACAGCCTTACAGAATTAAAATTACTGAACAGGGGTGGTCATGAGGTAAGAGGTGAAGAAAACAGGAGAAAGATTAACAAACTCATATGTGTCGCTTGGACAGACATCAGACTTGTGAAGGTGGAGACTCTTCCTTACCCTCCGACTCCAACAGCTCCAGGCATGCAGGAGATCTGAGACCACTGAGCAAACCAACCATTGGCGCAGCAGAATCACGGACAAGGAAGAGGAAAGAAAACAGGTGATCACACCCACCCCTTGGACACTTCGGCACATGCTAAATGGCTGCCATATTCTTCAGGTTATTTTTGTCCAGCTTCCTTTACAAAAATCATCACTTCATAAAAATAGGGTTTTTAAATAATTAAGTACAAAGAAGAAAGAAAAATCCTGACACTCTGGAAGGGTTTTTCTGACACTTGCCAGGTTTGTGAGCAGCAGGAAATCCGAGGCAGAAACCAATGGCCTAGATTCAAAGCCTGGCTCCACAACTGACTCTGCTACCTATGTTTTCTTCTAGGGCCATGGTCGGCAAATCACGGCTCGCGAGCCACATGCGGCTCTTTGGCCCCTTGAGTGCCATGTGCAGGCACGCACGTACAGTGCGACTGAAACTTCGTGGCCCATGCGCAGAAGTCGGTTTTCGGCCTGGGAGAGTCTATTTTAAAGAAGTGGCGTTAGAAGTGGGGGGGTGTCAGTCGGTGGGGCAACAGGAGACGCGGGACACGCAGCGCGGAGGAGGGCACGCGATTCATGCACGAGTTGAGTGAGCCAGTCAGTCAGCAGTCTCATTGTGCAGTGGTTAGTGCTAGTCGCGTCCGCAAATCGCGCGCAGGTGACAAAAGTACCTACTCAAAGCATAAAGTTACCTGTATTTTTCGAACCAGCTGCAAATCCTACGTTGACTAATGAGTTTGCCGACCACTGTTCCAGGGTAAAGAACCTGAATAGACACTTCTCCTAAAAGGACATACAGATGGCCAATAGACATGAAAAGATGCTCAACATCACAATCATTAGAGAAATTGAAATTAAAATCACAATGAGATATCACCTCACACTTGTTGGGAGGGCTATCATCAATAAATCCACAGTTGGCAAGAATGTGTGGAGAAAAGGGAACCCTTGTGCACTGTTGGTGGGAATGCAATAGACTGGTGCAGCTACTGTGGAAAGCAATATGGGGTTACCTCAAAAAATTAAAAATGAAACTGCCGCTTCACCCAGCAATTCCACAGCTGAGATTTATCTGAAAAAACCAGGAACACTAATTCGAAAGTATATATGCACCCCTATGTTCACTGCAGGATTATTTACAAAAGCCAATATCTGGAAACAGCCCAAGTGTCCATCAGTAGATGAGTGAATACAACAGTTGTGATACACTTTACACAATGGAATACTACTGGGCCATCAAAAAGGAAATGGTAGGTAGGTAGGTAGGTAGGTAGGTAGATAGATAATACATACATATATACATACATACATACATAAGGAAATCTTGCCCTAGCCAGTTTGGCTCAGTAAATAAGAGCATCGGCCTGCGGACTAAAGAGTCCTTGTTTAATTCTTATCAAGGGCACATGCCCGGGTTGCAGGCTCAATCCCCAGTGGGGGGTGTGCAAGAGGCAGCTGATGAATGATTCTTTCTCATCACTGATGATTCTGTCTCTCTCTCTCCCTTTTCCATCCTCTCTGAAATCAATAAAAATATACACACACAAAAAGGAAATCTTTTCCTTTGCAACAACATGGATGGACCCGGAGAAAACATTATGCAAAGTGAAATAAACCAGTCAACGATAAATACCATATGATTTCACTCATATGTGGAATCTAATTAACAAAATGAAGCAAAATAGAGACAGACTCATAGAGAGCAAACTGACAGCTATCAGGGGTGGGGGGAAGGTGGGGGGATTGAGAGGAAAAAAAAGAATTCATGGCACATGGACAACCGTGTGGTGAATGTGGATGGGGGTGAGGGGTGGGAACTGGGGGTAGAAAGACGTGGAGGAGGGGTAAATGGTGATGGACACAGACGACGTGGGGTGGTGAACACACAATACAGTGTACAGATTATGTGTTGTAGAATTGTGCACCTGAAACCTGAATATTTTGTTAACCACTGTCACCCCAATAAATTTAATAAAAAGGGGGGTGGAAGATATACTATAAAAATATATTTATTCACAATGAAAAATTTTCATATTAATAGTAATAAGCAGATAAAAATAGGCAAGTGCCATTTCTTCAAAATTAGGCTGTTTATACACATAGGAAAATGTTTAACATCAAAACATTAGAAGTAATTTTCTCTGGGTGGTGGAGATGCAGGGGAAAGTGCATAAAAAAAGCATCTTTATTTTTTCCAAAGAGTAAACCATTTACTGAACACTAGTCCTTTGCTTAATGACTTCTGTGCCACACTCCAGCTGTCCCCATTTGTCCTGCTAACCAGCCCTCCTCCAGGGCACCGGCCAGGCTTTCATCACCAACATTCCTCAACATGCCTAGGTCACAGCACAGCTCACTGTCTCCCCACCTCACTGTTTCTCCTTTTCGAAGCCTGCATGGAGATTCTCACTAAATTATTCCTCCAGATGAATTTAAAACTTTAAGCAGGACCTCATTCAGGCCCAGTATACTGTATATTCATCGCTGGTGATCCCAAGATACTTTATTACTTTTGTTATCATTATGAGATCTATTTTATCCATCTCTACCCACTGGCTCAGTCACCACTCTGATCTCAGCTACTCTCATTTCCCTGCTGCAGGAAAATGAAGAAACTTCTACCTGCTCTTTTTGCCCCTAACTCCTCCCCGTCCCCACCCCCCCTCCACCCCCCGCCACCAGAAAAACAGCTGGAACCATCCCTTAAAAAATATCACATCACCTTTTAAGTATGCCTGTCTTTTCCCATCTGACTCTGAGTGACAGCCAAATGACAATGACCTTGAGGCCCTAAACAGCCTGGCCTCCCACCGGCTTTCTACTTCCCCAAACTTTCCCCTAACTGGCTCTGCCAACAACCGCCTTTCCACCAACCCTCTCAGGTGCTCATGAGTCCTTCTCCCAGATCTGTCCATGTGCTCCCTTCCTCACCTCCTGCATGTGTCACCTTCCCTGTGAGGCCTCTGTCTACCTTTTTAAAACTGGAAACCATCACAGACCCCTTTCCTTGTTTTGTTCACATTTATCACATGATTTACTGTTTTATCAAATGCTACACCCCCACCCCACCTCCAATCAGAATGCAAGCAGTGGTGACTGTGTTGTTTCGGACACGCAGTAGGAATATCTATCAGAAGGAAGGCGTCCCCGTCTCATTTTCTCAGTCAAGTTTTATGTCTCCTCCATTCAGGTTCTACACAGTTGTGAAATTTCCTCCTGGATATTTTGTAATTTTTGTTGCTATTGTGAGGTATTTTCGCCATTGCATTTCCTAATTAGCTACTGCTGCCATACAGGACACTCCAGGTGGTCATATATTTGTTTTATAACTGGCCACTTAAATATCTTTTAATTTCTAATCGTTTTTCAGTTGATTTTGGGGGGTTTTTCAATAAACAATCAAATCATATTTAAGTTATTGTATGTCTCCTTACCTATGGTTCTTATTCTTTCTTGCTTTATTTCAATACAAGACTCTCCAGAACAAAATTAAATACCAAAGGTAATAATGGTAACAAAAGTAATTCTTACGTGCATCTAGAATGCCTCTGTTAGCTCGCCATTAAGTATAATTTTGACTCTTGGTTGGGCTACAGAATCTTTATCATATTCTATTTCCATCAGTAATGGATATCAATTTTTAAAAATAAATACAGAATCTGTTGAGAACAGATCTATGATAACAAACCTATGATAACAAACCCAGTAGCAACATTAAATCATCCTTAAGCTATGGACTAAACCTCACTGTTCAGAATATAAGGTTAAATATATTGCCAGATCCTGTGTTTTGAGAACATTTCCATCATTTCCATCATCAATCTACAGCTCCCATTTTGGGGAGTATCTTTGTCAGGCTTTGGTATCCAGATCATGGGCGTTCCCTACTTTCCACAAAAGTTCTAGAACAGTGACTACTATACATGTTCCATGGACAAGTAGAAGCTGTATAACCAATGGCAAGCATGAGATTCTGAAATACTAACTTCATCCACAGTTATTGGTCATTTTTGAATAATGATGACGTTTTCCTGAAAAATATGCATTTTGTTACAAGCACTCCAATTTATTATCATAGAGTTTACATGATATTCAGTTATTTTTCCACTGAATCTGTGAAATTTAATTATGCCTTTTTTTCTTGGTAAAACTGCTCAGAAGTAGAAACTGACAAGTTAGAAGCTGTATCTACATACGATTTTTTGTTTGACCCACACAGAATGATTTTTTAAAATATGAATAGGTTATCATATTTTAGCATCAAAATCCAATTTTCTGATTCTTCTTAAATTTGTTCTTTTTCCATCCATCCTGCAATAACAGCTTATTCCACTTAGCTTCCTTTCTTATTTAATAGGAAGGCACCCACAGGCTTAAACTTGCAACTGGCTTCAGCCACATCCCCTGCTTTTCAGCCTTAACAAGTGGCTAAGATTCAAAGTGCTTTAAGCAAAAATAAATAAATAAATAAATGAATAAAAATAAAAAATAAAATAAAATAAACAAAGTGCTTTAAGCATTTTACCTGTATTATCTCACTTAACCCCCACAAGAATCCAATATAGCTGCTTTTATTACCATTTTACAAGGAAAAAAATTGAAGCACAGAAAAGCTGCTTGCTCAGAATTCAAACTTTTAACCACATCCCTATCTATATTTTCTATAAGTATTTGTAATTAGCTTTTACGTCTTCATTAACCCAAGAGTTTGGCAAGTTTTCTTTTGTTTTCCAAGTAATTTTTACTTCCTATTTTACCATAGTATGGTCAAAAACATATAGTCAGGCTGGGGGTTTGTGCCTAAAGACTTTGTAATGCTTTTCCTGATGGCCTAATTTGTTCAGTTTAATTTCTATAAATATTCCATAGTCATGGAGTAAGATATACTGAATCAACTTTACTACTCCCATTGTAAATATCTTTCAGATCTTTTGCCGTTTGATCTGCAAATAATGAGTTAAATTAACCACTTCAGATGTCGCTAGGTTTTTATTCATTCAACTCTAGATTTCCATAGGTTTTTACTTGTATTGTTAGATATTGTAAGCCTTCATATAAATATTCACATAAATGGTCACAAGTCTCCTAGTATTATATGTGAACAGCAACCAAAAACAGAGACAATCTTCTCTGCCTCACGTGCTCATCTTTAAATTGTATGCTTCCAATGCTAGCAGTATTAACCCTGCTTTGTGATTTTTGCTTGCTTTTCTTTAATTTTCTTATCTTAGTTTTAACCTTCCTAGATATTTCCACCCAGCATGTGCCTCCTCTAGACAAGACATAGTTGGGATTTTGCTCTTTGACTCAGTAAAAAAAAAAGTTAGAGGAGCTCTGGCCAGTGTGCTTCAGTTGGTTGAGAATCATCCCATGCACAGAAAGGTCACCAGTTCGATTCCCAGTCAGGGCACATGCCCAGGTTGTAGGTTCTGCCCCCGGTCAGTGTGTGTTCGGAGGCAACCAATCAATGTTTCTCTCTCATCAATGTTTCTAACTCTCTATCCCTCTCCCTTACTCTCTGTAAAAAAATCAATAAAATATATTTTTAAAAAAACACACAAAATAAAATGTCAGAAGAAATAAACACAGTCCCAAGGGTTTTGGAAAAGGGAATGTGTGCCTATATTTACATTCCTCCATCACAAGAGTGCTTTGCAATGATGGTATGTAGGTGGCAAAATGTGAGCTTTTGAACTTAAAGAAAATTCTTCTACTATCTTCACATATGAAGGCTGAATACTTGACAGGTCCCATAGAAGTCTATAGAATGTTTAAAGCACTTTGACCACTATTATAAGATGCTAAGAAACCAGCTCATTATTTTGAAAACTGATAAACAGAAATATTTAGACATTTATTCTGACTTTCCTGTATGAACTGTATCAGGGTGAAAAAAAACAACAACAAAAAACTGATGAGAAGTTGCTCTTTACAGAAGTATTCTAGCTAGTAATGAGAAAGGAAAGACAGAATATCATCTTTCTGCAACCTCTAATAGATCCAGTCACTGATCATCAACGACTACTAACAACACAGGACAGACCACCTGACGTCAAGACTCCCTGGAAGAGCCCCCCACTGCAAGAGAGTTTCGCTAACCCCCAGCCTACCCCAAGAATCAAACTTCAACCAGATCAAGCCTACTGGTGTAATTACTAATTTATAGGAAACATAGAAGACAGGAACCTGTTAAACTACACTATACTGAATACAATCAGCAAACTCCACACTGGCCAAATTCTTCAACAAGTACACGGAGAGAGAGAAAAGAAACCTATAGATATAAAAGAAACTTAAGAAACATGTCAATACACAGTAACATATGAGCCTTATTTAGATTCTGATCCAAACAGTTATAAAAACATTTATGGGATTTGAGACAAAAGTTGAATACTTGCTAGATATTGATGTTAAGGAAATAGTGTTAATTTTTAATGAAGCGATGATAGAATGATTAATATATAGCTATTTTTATTCAGTGTCCCTGAAAAGATATAAAAGATAATGCTGAAGTATATTTTTAAAAAATATAAAACCACATGTATAATGCTGCTTCAAAACAATGCAATGGATATAACATGTATTATTTTCCTAAATGTTCATAGTATTTTTTTCCCCTTCAAGCTGAGATTACCTATCAGGTTAAATAAATTAGTATTTGGTTTTCTTCATCAACTTTGCCTAATTATGTGCTGAACTCTTTCATTCTATAGATCACTACCACCACACTTTCTTTTATTATTATCTCTAAAAAGTCCTATTTGGGTACTTTGTGAACTGTATGGTAACCTTCCTCAGTCACAATAAACACTGATATATACAACATTCCTTATAGGACAATATTTGCTTTAAGAGAACCCATCAAAAGAAAACAGGGAGTTGTTATTATTTGAAAGAAAAAGCCCTATGTTAATACGTACAGAAAGACATAAAATTATATTGCTACTCCTACATACCTCCTGACATTTTATAAATACATTTTAGATAAATATAAAAGACAAATTAAATATATAAAATAATAGTATTAAAAAGAATTCACTGTTACCTTTACAAAAGAATTTACCATAGTTTCCTTTAAGCACTACATCCCACTATTCCACTTTCAGGATGGATGGACAAATAGGCACATGAGGCCACAAACTAGCAAGCAGGTCTTGTTGGGTCCACTTAGTGTTATTTAAAAATTCAAAAAGTTGCTGACATTTTAAAATTAGATTTCAACGTAACTTTGAACTGGGTGCTCTTAATGCCTCATGCCACCCAGGGACTGGCTCTGTGGACAGCAGCAGCCGGTCCTCAGCATTTTCTTAACACTAAGCTCAAAGGCCAGCAGCCATTTAGCATCAGATTTCTACCTCTATTTTTCTGACACCTGGTCTGCTTTGCTCTTTACTTTGCAGCCTACCTGGTAACAACCACTAATAGTCACTCCGTTTTTTTAGGTAAATAAAATATGTCCACACTGATGCTGAGAATTTTGTTAGGAACTCTTTTTTCCTTAAATTCACATAAAACTAAGGAGTTGATGAAAGGGCATTTTGAGCATAAAAAGAACACAAAGAACATAGAAACACCCATTCTATGTGTTTCTTCTGTCCCTAATTCAGTCCCAAGGTAACACTCAGAACCCTCACTCCCCCAGCACTGCAACACACACAGCCTCACCTGCATTGCTCCCAGTTCCTTTCTGCTTTTTTTTCTTGGCTAGTTGAATGGCTCGGGAATCAGTTCTTGCTGAGCCCCCACTTTCCTGAGATCAAAGAAATGTGTGTCAGTCACTTGACCCAAACAGCACAGGGAGGGTAGCAAAGGAACTAGTGAGATGTAATAACTCTGCTTCCTGGAGAGTGGAGTCCAGTACTCTTCGAGAATCTCCAGCAAAGGCTCACCAAGAATCAAATACTACATCCAATTATAATGATAGCTACACAAGATCAGAGTTGGAACAATACACATAATTTTATTATCCAGAGAAGCCATGTTTATTCCTCCAAAGTCTAAAATACTAAAATATTTTACACAGAAACTCTTAAAAAATGAATTACATACTTCTCTGCTGTCTGAAACAAATAACCACCCTTCCTTCAGTGATAATTTACTGCAGCATTAATTCACTCCAACATTGTTCAGAGCCGGCCACACAATACTTGTATGGCAGACCTGGGAGGTCCTATCTCATATACCCACTGCAGAGGCCGCTCTGGCGGCAGGTGCTTAACTCAAAACCTTACATACCAAGATAATAATTAGTTACTGAATTCAGGAAGATTACTGAGGGAGCCAAATAGTATTTAAATGGGACTTCAACTGCTGTAAATTTGTGAATTTTTTTATAAGAAAAAGTTTGTACTTATCACTACAAAAAGAAAAAGAACACCCCTAAACAGCTCATGGCATACCTGTAACCCATTCACCACACACCATCTGTGCTCAGAGAATCGAGGCAGCCCGTCACTCAGCTAGCAAGAAAATGAACAAGGGTCAGGATCATGGTCATGGTGGCTCCTTTTACCTCCACCCACAGTTACTCAGGTAGTGACTCCCCATGCCATCTCCCTTTCTGGCCCAGGCGCCTGCACACCTGGCAACTGCCGCAGCCACCAAAGCAGAGGTTAGCACATGTGGCTATGCTCCCACAAGTGAGACACCAGCAGAGGCTTGAGACAGAGCTGCTCTCAGACTCAGACATAAAAAAGCTGGCTCTATGGCATATAAGTTAATCACGTCCCTCAAAATTGATCCTAATTCACAGGAGTAAACATTTTTTTTAAATGTGGTAAAATAAGATTTAACATTTTGAACAATATCACCATCAAATTTAACCTGTGTCACAGAGAAAAAACCTATTTGATCATTCCCATCTGAGCCTGAGGAAAGTCAGATTCAAAGAATCTTTATTTTTTAAATTAAATTGTTAAATGTATACCTGACAAATATAATTAAAGTATATTCACTGTCAAGCTTCAATACTGTAGAATTACTCCCAACTTTCCAGAAACAAAGGTTCACAAACCACTCCCTTTCCCCCCCTTAATTCTAGTGTTGTTGTTTTTTAATTGTTTTGAGTGATTTTTAAGTTTTCATTAAAATTTTAAAGACAGTCGCTGTCATGATTCCTCTTCCTCTAGTTATGAGTAAGTCTAAGGACTTGTTTTGTGAAAAGCACAAAGGCAGGATATTTCAACACTATGAAACACTCCCAATTTTTTCAAGAAAAGAAACACATTATCACACAAAGAACTCAAAAGGACCTTAGAAATCATCTAACCAATCCCCCTCATTTTAGAACTGAGAATTTAAGGCTCAGACAGGTCAAGTGATTTGCTCAAGATCGTAAAAACGAAATCAGTTCAGACTCAGGATCAGAATTCAGATTTCCAAACTTGTAGTCCAGGGCTCCATCCTTTTGCAAAGAGTAAGAAATGTCTACACATAAATAATTCATCCAGAACATCCTCAAAATTGAGTGTTTAAGAGAAGTAAGCTAGGTGGTAGTGACTGAAGATAGCACTTCATACCAAAGAGAAGTTGCCAGTCCCTGCACTGAGGCCTGTGTCTTTCTGAGGACTGTGCCTTCCTGGAAGGCTGGAAAACACAGGCCAAGGTACCTCTCTGTTTCGTTCTTGCTGCCTGACAGCATCAGGGCCAGGAGGCGAGTGTGGTTCCACTTTGATTGAAGTCAGCAGTTCTGGGACACTGGTGTTTCCTGGTGGGGTGCTTGAAGAGGTCAGTGTGGTGGTGTTCGCTGGTAAACTGCTGCTGGAGGTCAAAGCCTGTGGGTCCTGACCCAAGTTCTTCACAGGCAGAGCTACCAGACAGCCTAATGCTCCTGCACTTACAGTCTGCACATCATCCATAGTGAAATTGCTTTGCTGAAGAACTGTAGCTGCTGTCCCGAGAACAAGAGGGCTGTCCAGGCTGGGAGGAATGTCACTGTGGGCCACCAAGACCATCGGCCCTAAGGAACTATTATTAGGGAGGTTCCCTCTGAGAGAGGAGCTCACAGAAGTCACATCAATAGTCAGGATTCCAGAGGTCAGCGCCTCGTCCGAGGCCCCTGCTGCACTACTCTCATCAGCAGGTGCATCAGAGAAGAGTGCGGCCAGGTCGATGTTGTTGAGCTCATTTTGGCCTGGGCTGCTTAGTTCACTGCTGAGTGGAAGAGAACTTGGAGCTCCTAACTGAGGGAAGAGATCTGAAAAGGAATGAACGCACTAGTTACTACATGCCCTTAAAGATTAAGAAGTTTTATTTGTACTCAAGATGTTAAGCAACCCATTAAAGGCACCATCTACTGCCTTCTTCCTGCCCCTGCTGCGTGGCACATGAAAATGGCCACATGCTGAAAGAAGGCAGCATGATGACATGTCAGGCATTTTACATATGTTGTCTCAAATCCTCAAACTGACAGGGATTTCTCCAGACAGAGGGAGTGACTCGAGTCTAAATAACATTTTCTGAAGTCACATTAATTGGTAACAGGACTTGAACCATGTCATTCTGGCTTTAAATCCTGTACTCCTTCTGCTATACCACAATAACTACACCTGAAAAGAGTAAAACTTTCCATGGTACACCAATCTTCAGAAGTCAGATACAAAGTGAATTCTGGTGCTGAGGATATTTTTGGAATCAGCTTGTATCAGCTCATTCCTCTTCAAACTCTATGCCTCACTCATCAACTAACTGCCACTCCAAAACAAATCTGAGTCATCTGGGGGTGATCAGTGGTGAAAAATTGGGTCTGTGGGACCCAGCTCTAGGGAGCTGCAGAGAACTGAGATTAGGTCCCCCAGGCACTCTGGAGGTGAATCCCTTCCCCTTCCACCATTGTATTCCCAACCTCTAATACTCTTCCACCCACCCCTGCTATGATCATTCTGAGGGTGCAGAGTCTGTCTGACCAACTTTGTCCCTCAACACTAGGCACAGTGCCTGGCCCTTAAGCAGCATTTAATAATTATAGTACAAACAATTCCAGTAGATCCCTGTTCATTTTGTCTTATATACTGGGCCAATACTATAATTATTTACTTGTTATCCAATTAAGTAACTTAAATGATCAGAACACCCTTGGGGGAATAATGAGCATTACCATAATTTTAAAAAATTTCAATGAATATTCAAGTCGGGGGTTTATACACAAGTGCACCCAATCACCCCAAATCCGAAAACAAGCAAGGACCTGATGTTATTCTTTCTTAAGAAATTCCTACCTGCAGCTTAGAATCTAGAATGTGCCAGGGTCTAGCCAGAGGGAAAAGGCTCTCAGTTCCTGGCTCTATTCCTTCCACACCAACCATTAAGCTAATCCCAAACTCATACTTTCTGGTTGTGGACACCACATCAGCGTGCCTATTATATTTTTCATGCAAATCTACGAAAGAATCTACTCTAGGTGTCTGCCCCCAAAATAAATTTTAAAATAATCAAATTAGAATATACTTTTTTTAGTTGTCATATTACTTCATAGTTAAAAATAGGATCACTATATTATTGCGTCTTCATTAATTATCTCTTAGTACTAATGAAACATTTGAAAGAAAATGATAGTGATTCTTTAGAGAAATTAAAATAAAAACTTGTCTGTCTCAAAACTTTCCAAAAACTCCCTTGACAATCTTGAGGCTTCAGCTCCCTATAAAACGATTAATAATAACCTCAGTGCAAACAGATACTAATTGGTTCATGAATTTCCTACTTAGCATTTTAGTAATTCCACATATATTTACTGGAGACCTGCTATGTGTAAGAGCCAGGTATTTTTTAAAAAATCACTAAATAAACATTAATTAATAGCACATCTAGCCTAAGGTTACAAGAATGACCTTGCTCCAGTCCTTCTTTGCCTATGTGACCCAGGCAAATCCTTCTCATTTCCACCTCAGACTCCTTTGTCAGTGACAGAGTAATGCGGAACCCCCAATCCCGGGACCACTGTGAAGAGGAACTCAAACAGTTAATCCAGAGACTGCCATAGCCCCTGGCAAAGTCAGTCCCTAGTATATAGGCATTCCAAAGCATCTATTTCTCACAAGGCGAGCACTGAGCCAACAATGGTCATCTACCCCTACCTTGTGACAGGGAATAATGACACACAAGTAAGTCAATGTCACATCATAAATGCGGTGTGGAAAAAAGGCACCACAGAAGCACCTGAGAGGTTTTCACACCCAAAGCAAAAAACAGTGCTGTTGCTGATTTTTGAATGAGCCAGGCTAGGAAAGGGGAAGAAGCAAAGAGGTTGGGCGCATGGTATCACAGAACACCAGCTCAGAGCTAGGCAGGTAGAGACAGAGGCAGGAACCTGTTCTATCACCGAGAGCCTCTGAACACCAGCATAAGGCACTTGACTAGCGTCTGTGAGCCAAGACAATCTCTACCATGAGTCCTCAAGACACCTAGTGCCTAGAAGGGCAGCTTCTTTAAATACAAAGCTGAATAGCAATCAATGTTACAGCCAAAAGAGGGAAGAAATGACCACACTAAATAGGATTAAAAGAAGCCAAAGGACACAAATATTCACTGAACTAAACTACTCATCAAGCTCTGCTCTAGGCACTTTAACTCGACATTTCATTCTGAGAACCACTCAAATTCTGTGTTTAAAAGATGAGGAAACCAGGGCTGACAGACCTGTGCCCTGCTTAGGATCACACAGCTGGGAAGTTGGCTGCACCCCAAGGCTGGTGCTACCTGTCACACAGGTGACAATGAGCAGGGCCTGGTTAACAATATGCTCAGGTAACTCTATGGCTAGCCAGGATTTCACTGGCCAGGACCTGCCAGGCACAGCAACCTCTCCATGCCCCAGAGAGCAGGGTGATGTGAGCAGGGGAGGCAGCCATGTAGCAATCCAGACCCCTCAAAATCCTAACTGTAGGACTGTGCACGTGGCCTCAAGAGGCAGGATTCTAAATTCCATGCCACCATGTAGCCAGATGAACAAGCCCTTGTGTGCCCAGACTCCCCCTCTGGAGAACTGTCCTGGTTCCCTCTCAGTCCTCACACCCCTGCCCCAGCCACATCCTCAAACACAATTCTGTTCTTGTTTTCAAGGACTTTCCTCAGCAGTAGGATGGAGAAGAGACACAGAGTGTGCTCAGAAAGAAAGATAGGACTTAGAAAAAAGATCCAAAGACAGAAATGGTGGAGAAACAGGCTTAGAACTTAGGACAGAGATCACAGGGGGATACAGATTTAGGAGACATGTGCAGGAAAAGCCAACAACATGGAATACTGAACACAGGCAAAGGCAGCAACATGGAATACTAAACACTCTTCAAGGTAAGCACTTCAGACAAGGATGAGTGAGGCAGAAGCAAGTGGCAGCAGAGTCCGAAGAGGCCACTAGGCTTGGCAGCCATGCTCCCTGGGCTGGTAAGAACTCACTGCACTATAGAGTAACTTAACCTAGGACTCAGCCAACTTCTGAAAGGAGCTAAGGAAGGAGTGACACCCTTTTGCTTCTCTGGCACAGGTCAAGCTTACACATCTTTGTAGCTCCCTAAGAGGGTCATAAATCAAGCCGACCTTGGCGCTGGCTGTGCTGCCTGACCACATGTGCCTTCATACTGTGCTTGGAGGTGAAGAGTCTATTACAGTTGGACACTGGGCAACGGCTTTTTGGAGCAACCACGTCTTGCAGGTGTTTCTTGGAGTGAATGTAGAGACTGCTACGAGCGGAGAACCTGGCACAGCACCCTGGAACAAAACAAATGATAAGTGTTAAACCTATAGATTATCAAGGAACCAATGCTGACATTTCCTCATCATCCTATCTAATAATAGACAAACATGGTAATTAACCATACCTCCGCTATGCTTCCCATTGGCTAATCAGCAGAATATGCAAATTAACTGCCAACCAAGATGGCGGCCAGCAGCCAGACACCTGAAGCGAACAGGAGGCTTGCTTGCTCCAGTGATGGAGGAAGCCAGGTTCCCTGCCTGCCTCGGC